TGTCATTCTCTGTGATTTAGTCTAATTACATCTCATCTCTTGGTATTTTAAAAATTGTATTCTCATTTCTGTGGTTAATAGTCTCATTTCATAAACCCCACTTATATAAAAAAGCAACAACTCCTAATAAAAAAAAGAGAAAATTACATTGAAAAAAAAAATAATAAAGCAAAGGAAAGAAAAAAAAAGTAAAGCAAAAGCAAGAAAAGAGAGAGTGTATGAGTTCGATATTTTCATTATGTCTAAATAATTACAATGACAGGGGAGTTAGTGTAAGTTTTCAAACATCAGGAGTGACATTAAACTCAAATCTCGGAGGATGTAAATGTAATTTATCCTATTCTAAAAGATGCATTTATAATTTATTTAAAATATAATACTATAAAGATAGTCATTATAGCATTATTTTTTCAACTTGCCGTATCTCCAACTCTTTTGAACTATAAAGTTCATTTGATTAGAAATAAAATGATGTTGGGAAGTGAATGATAGGCAAATACATATATATATATATATATACATATATAGGAAGAAAAAAGAAATGAACAATTATTTTTTAAATACATTTAAATAAGATGAATTTTTGGAAAGAAAATTATTTGTTAAAAAAACTTTGTAGCTTCAAAAACAATTCTTAAACAAGCGAATATACAAGCGAATGCAACTATGGGTAAATATACAAATCGTGATAATTGTTTGTCATTGAAAAAAAAAAAAATCATATATATTCTGTGTTGAATAAAAATATAAATTTAGACATTTAGAAGGGCTGTAGGATTGATTTTACTTTTTAAGACAAATGCTATCAAAGCTTTTTCAAAAAAAAAATGTTTGATTTTTCTTTTTTCTCACATTTTTCATCAGTATTGTACTAATTGTGTGGATAAAAAAATTGTACCACGCTGTTGATAGTGACAAATTTACTTTTATGAGATTGGAAATTGAACGTTGAAAATGAATAGTTTGAAGTCTACACTGAAGGATTTTTCTGAGATGGAAATCCTCTGGTGTGTAATGTAAGTATATAATTTTATACAAAATTATGTAAATTTTTATAAATAATTTTATAAAAAAGCATAAATAGAATATAAATTCACATAATTACATAAGTTTTAACAAACTCTCGCAAATTTATATTCAACTTTAGTAATTTTGTATAAGATTGCAAACAGTGTGCATTGCAAGTCGGAATTTTTATTTATTTATTTACATATTAGTGGTAAACCCGTGTTATGCATAGGATATGAAAAAATTAATAAAATATTTTTATATAAAAGTAATATAAATAGTTAGATTTTTTATGTAAATTATGAAAACAAAAAAAGATTGAAACTTATAATTTAAGTTTCACAATTTTATTATAATTTATATATCAATTTTTAATTTGTCACAGTTCCAATCATATAACTTTTAACCTCTTACTAGAGTTATAAACTTGGGCGAATTCAGTCCAAGTAGTTTGATTCAAGCTTGGAATTTTTTAAAGATTGAGTAATATAATTTTTAATTCAGTGAAGTAAGTAGAGATACTAAATAATTTGAGCAAACAAAACAAAATTATATATATAAATATATAAAATTATTTACTAATTTATTTTTCAATAATAAATAAGATTTATTAAAAAATTAATATTAATGAACAAAAGCAAAAACAATATTCCAATAGAATTATTTATTTTTGATTTTTTTTTAAAATAAAAAATGCACCTTTTGGAAAGGGATCATTGAATAAGTTAATATTAAAAAAAACATACATTTTATAATGGCATAAAATAATTAAAATATGATTTTTTAGAAATTATTTTATTTTTAAAAATTGCAATAAAACATTTAAATAGAACAAAATTAAATTTCTTACAAAATAAAAGTATTTGGATTAAAAAAAAAATAAGAAGAAAATTTAACATTGTATTCACATTTGATCTCAAATTAATTCTAGATGATCAATAAATTATCACCAATAACTCTCATTTTTTTAATAAGAAAAAGATATTTCACAAATCATTACAATTTAATAGAAAAATAACATTTATTTCTATTTGTTTTAGCAAAAGTCACCTTTCAATCATTTGAGCAAAAAATAAATTTATTTTTTATTTAAATTTGTTTAATTGACAATTGAGATTAAAAATATATATATAATTAATAGGATCCACCATGTTTCGCAAATGCAAAAAAAGTCTAGATGATCGATAAGAAAAATATTTAAGACTCACAATTATACCTACAATGATGTAATATCATATATGTCAATTCTTGATTTGTTATACGCTCAATGACATGGAACCCAACATTGTTGGAATAATAAATTATCACGTTTAACTCTTATTTTTTTTATTATATATATAAAAATAAGTTTCACCATCCATCACTTTTAATAGAAAAATAATGTTTATTTTTATTTGATTTTAGCAAAAGTCATTTTTTAATTGTTTAAGGCAAAATTTTTTATTTTAATGTTTAATTGACAATTGAGATAAAAAAAAAATTTAACAGAATCCATCATGTTTGGCAAGTGTTAAAAAAATCATTCATTTTCTTAATGTTTTTGTTTTTTGTTAAATATATATATATTTGTATCAAAAAAAATTTATTGTTCAAGTCTTTATGACTTAGAGCATCTCTAACGGTGACTCAAATTTTTCACCAAATCTGAGTAAAAAATGACCCATTTCACCAACTTTGATATCACTCACTCCAACGGTTCACCTTTCACCAAATCTATCCCGGGACAACCGGGTGATCGACCGGCCGGTTGACCGGTTAGGCAAAAAATTTTTTTTTTTTTTTTTTTAACGGTTTGAACTATTTTTTCTGAACTGTTTGAATCTTTTACTGGTTGACCGGTTGGTCAACCGGCCGGGCAACCGGTTGGTCGACCGGTGTAGCATTTTCAACGGTCAGTAACATTGAACTTTTTTTCCTGAACTGTTTGAATCTTTTACTGGTTGACCGGTGTACCTCTTTCAACGGTCAGTAACAGTGATTTGGTAAAATCAGTGTCTCGTTCTCAGTTTGATGCTTGTTTTGCTGAAATCTCATTTTGATATCAATCTGGTGCAACGGTTGGAGCATAAAAAAGTACATTTTTCATCAAAATTTGAATCTGATATCAACTTTGATTCACCGTTGGAGATGGTCTTAGAAGGATATGCAAAAATTTATAAATTTAAAACAAAAAATGATGAAAAATAAAAATATAAACTTTAATAGTAATTAATAATTTTAACACGTGTGTTTAATAACATATTATGTTTAGATCAATAATATTATGATAGATGTGAATATTAGTCTCATTTTAATTGTAGTAACATAATTTAAATTTAAAATTTTATTTTATAATTCAATAAAGGATGCATAAATTAAGGAATAAATATGAATCTCATTTAAAAAAAAATCTAAATTTAAATTTTATTTTACAAATATAAAATTAATTTATAAACAAATCATATTGTGACACATGTTAAAAAAATTAAACAAAATTTAAAAAATGAAAAAAAAGAATTACAACTTTCAATCTTAATAAGATGACAACGTTTTATAATTATAATAATATATAGATAGATAAATACTTGACTGAAAAATATTTTTTATCTAGAGTTTCTCTCCGAATTGAATTATCCCCAAAGGCATTTTTTACCGAACTTAAGCTATGTTTGACATAAATTTTTTGGGCTAAAATAGTGACAAAATAGATTAAAAAGTTAATAAGACAAAATGTTACATCTAAATCATAATCATTTTTTTTTTTGCACAATAGTAAAAAAACTAAAAAGTCTATCCAAAACGAACTAAAAAAACTCAAGTTAAAATAATCTCAAAGTTAAAAAACTAATTCACATCGGAAACAAAAACTTAAATGGTTTCCTCATTCCTCTAGACTTACATAAGCTAAGACTTGATGGGATTTAAATGGTTTCCTTATCCCTCTACAATTACGTAAGTTAGGAATTATATTTTGATCGGATTTAACAACGGTTAAGACTTCACGTTGTGGCATGTAGCACCTTTGACTATATGATCAGGCTACATCGTACCATCTTTAGGTGAAGACCCTCATGGCCAAACTTTTAAAATACAATTCCACAATAATCAAACGGAGCATAATAAAATGAGTTTGGAGACTTTTTAGCAAGGTAGAGTCAAATTTAGGTTGAAAACAGAAATCCTAATTGGATTCGGTGGAGAGGATGATAATTCTGATCCACCTTCTTTATATTATTACAAAAATATTCATACTTTAGCATGATCATATAAAATAATATTAAATTTATTATTATTATTTTTTATTTCCATCTTGTTTATATAGTGTACATCAACATCTACAAACAAACAATGAACAAAACAGAACAACTTTCAAATTTACTTTTTTTTTGAACTTTTACTACTGATTGGTCACCTTTTAAAATTCTATAACAAGATTATAGTGGTTAAACAAGGTTACATTAGGGGGGTAGGGAATGAATCCCATTGACAAAAAAAAACCTCTATTTTTTATGTCTATTATAATAGGCATGAGACAATTATTGAGTAGAAAGCTAAACAAAATTAGGACCCTAAAAAAGAAAGATAAAAAGGAATGGGTCCAGTTGGTGGAGAAAATTTACCCCCTCAATTGATTACTGTTTGGCTTTATGTTAAAAAAAAAGGAAAGAAAAATACTGTATGACATGCATTTTGACTGGATGAATATGAATATATGAATCAACAACCACCCACACTACCCCCAACAGCAAAAGATTCCATCTTAGCTGTAAACTCCACTTTTCTATAGTCCCCTTCAAAAAATCTTACCATTACTACTAGTACTCCTAGTATTCCTTAATCTATATCTGCATGTAGGAGAATGGATAAAAAATTATAAATACATAGAAATGTAAATGTATGAAAGGACGTAGAAATGTGAGTGTTATTTACACCACGTCATATATTGGTGATTTTTTTTACTTTCTTCCATCTATATGTAATTTCCCTAATCTATTCTTTCTCTCTCTCAAATTGTTTTTCAGCATCAAGTTTCAACCTTTTACACTCTTGTGTGCTTCTTGTCTTGTGAAAGTGCAAACTCTCTCTCTCTCTGACATGTGTGAAAACAGTCCCACAAAGCAAACTACCCACCCACCACTGCTACTACATGTAGTCCACACTCACTCACTCACTCTCTCTCTCTCTCTCTCTCTCTCTCTAAATCCCAACATCACAATGCCCACCTTCTTCCTCCTCCTCCTCCTCCTCTTATCCACCGCCACCGCCATTGCCACCCACAACCGCCGTGCACTCCACCAACCCTTCTTCCCACAAGAATCAAAATCCCCAACTCAGCCACCATCTCCTCAACCCCAAACCCCTACTAAATACCCATTTTCCACTACTACCCCTAACCAACAGCCTTTTTTCCCATCCGTACCCACCGGACCGTCACCGCCGTCTCCGCCGTCTCCCCCCTCCTTCGCCTCCTTCCCCGCCAACATCTCCTCCCTCATCCTCCCCCAACCCTCCAAACCCAAACCCGTCTCTTCCAAACTCGTCGCCGTCGCCGTCGCTCTCTTCCTCTCCGCCGTCTCCCTCACCGCCATTGCCTCATTCCTCTACATTCGCCGCCGTAGACGGCGGAGCTTCAGCGATAGCAAGACGCATAGATCGGATAGCAGTGTCGGAGTGTGTCAACCCAATGGGCTTCCAAGGCCAAGAAGATCGCCTCCGACTAGCTCCGAGTTTCTCTATCTCGGCAATATAGTCAATTCTCATGGCGGAGTCGATGCTAATGTTGCTCCAAGAAGTGGTGTTGGTGGTGGTGGCGGCGGAGACACAAATTTGAGGAAATTGGACTCGCCGGAGCTCCACCCATTGCCGCCGCTTGGACAGCAGAGTTTCCGGCGGAATTATGAAAATGCAGATGTGGGTTCTGAAGATGAAGAGTTTTACTCTCCGAGAGGGTCTTCTGGCGGCCATGAGAGCTCCATCGACACCGGATCGGCATCCAGAAGAACATTCGCCGCCGTAACAGCGGCGGAGAATTTCGATGCCAGGAGTAGTGAAGAATCGAGTTCGTCTCTGTATTCATCATCCAATTCTGGCTCGCCGACTCGATCAGCATCGATTAGTATTTCTCCAAGTTTAAGTCCAAGAAAGCCCATATCGCCGGAATTAATGGCGGTTCCGGCTGCTCCTCCTCCGCCACCGCCACCGCCACCACCACCGCCGCCGCCGCCGCCGTTGCCTTTTACGACCCAATTGGCTAATCTGAAGAGTTCTCCGTCACCGTCACCGTCACCGTCACCGCCTTCTTCGTCTTCGCCGGAAAGAGTTTCGGAGAAAAGCATAGATTCATCACCGAGAATATCAAATGTTGAGTCTCCGGCGAGAATTACCTACTTTGTTTCGTACAAATTGGCTGATGAGAAGAGTTCTCAATCACCATCATCACTGTCTTCACCAGAAAGATCTCTGGATCAAATCCAAGATTCATCACCCAGAATATCCAATGTTTCGAATCGAAACGCTGAGCCTTTGAAGCAATTGGATTATAAGAAGAATTCTAGATCCCCATCACTGTCTTCATTTTCCTCACCAGAAAGACGTCTGGAGAAAATCCCAGATTCATCACCCAGAATATCCAATGTTTCCAATCAAAAATCTGAAACTAGCACTACCATTTTGAATCAGTTGGCTTACAAGAAGAATTCTAGATCCCCATCACTGTCTTCGTTGCCCTCCCCGGAAAGATCTTCGGAGAAAACCCAAGATTCGCCAGCTAGAATATCAGATGTTTCCAACCCATATCCGGAAACATTTCAGAACTCCGTGCCGGTGTCTGTTGCCCCACCGCCACCACCTCCGCCGCCGCCGCCACGACATTGGGAAAGTCCAGTTTCTCCTCCAATTTGCCAGCCAATTGTGAAACCACCAGTTCTAGTAACTCCTTCAAGACCTGTTGTTATTCCTAGTCCTAGTCCAACATTGATATCTCCGATTGAATTGCCTTCTAGTTCAGAAAATGCTGAGAAGAATGAGGAAACTCCGAAACCCAAGTTGAAGCCATTGCACTGGGATAAAGTTAGAGCAAGCTCTGATCGTGAGATGGTTTGGGATCAGATAAAATCAAGCTCCTTCAAGTATGATCACGAGTTTAATCTTGATCAGTAGTATTGTTTTTGCTATTTTTGTTTCTATTTTTCAATTGTTTGGAATTTGGGTTTTTGGTTGCAGATTGAATGAGGAGATGATTGAATCATTGTTTATTGTAAATACATCAAACTCGAATCCTAAGGAACCAACTCGACGCCCCATTCTTCCCTCGCCAATGCAGGAGAATCGGGTGCTTGATCCGAAGAAGGCGCAAAACATTGCAATTTCACTAAGGGCACTGAATGTAACCATTGAAGAAGTTTGTGAAGCTCTTTTAGAAGGTAACTTCTCTTTCTCTGTTTTTAGTTCTATCTTGCCGCATTTCTCTCTTTTTTCTGCAAATACTTCATTACTATGTACACTGTACATACCAATGTATCTATAGATGCAAAATCGATCACATAACCAATCACAGAACATCATTAAAGAGGTTGCTCCACTTACATTGCTCTGCCTGTATTTTCTGTGATTGGTTATATGGCCATAGAATTATTGTGTAAATGGAGCAACCTCTTTGGTGGCCGACGTCACCATCTAATGTATAACCACCATTATTTTTCATGATTGATTCTGTCTCCGTAGAATTATTGTGTATGAACTTCTCTCATGTACTCGCTATACCTGTTAATAGCAATTTTATGTATATTTAACTGTTTGCAGTTAACATGTTTTGCTAAGTGGAATATTTTTGCACTTGTATATAGGGAATGCGGAAGCTCTTGGAACCGATCTTCTTGAAAGTTTATTGAAGATGGCTCCAACCAAGGATGAGGAATATAGGCTGAGAGACTACAAAGATGATTCACCATTGAAACTTGGACCTGCCGAGAGATTTCTCAAGGCAGTGCTTGATATTCCTTATGCATTTAGAAGAATGGACGCCATGCTCTACATATCTAATTTTGAGTATGAGGTCGAATACCTCAAAAAGTCATTTGATACTCTGGAGGTATATCAATCACTAAGACACTAGCTTTTTAGCTGTTGTTACTCTATCTACATTTATTTAGGATGCTTGGGAATTGTTGAAAGTTGACATTTGGCAGAAAATATACTTTGCCCATTCATCTTTCATCCACAACTTTTCGTCCTTAATTTTTTGAATCAATTACTTCAACATTAGTTTTTAGCCACCATTACTGTTTTTTACATATATCTTGGGTGCTTAAAGTTCTGTCCTTGCTAGTTAAATCATCCGCTCCTCAAAATTTTCTTGCCATGCATTTTTTGTTCACAATTTTTTTGTTTGTTTGTTGATACTATCATATCTTGAGTTTCCTGGTTCACAAAGTGAATGTTTTGGCAACCAAGTAGGTACATTGGTGGTGTCATTATCAAGTGGATATTGATATGAAGATAATATTTACACCTTGTTGGGAATTAACGTATCTCTAGATCTCCTCGTGTGCTCTCTACAAGTCTGCCTAATGCGTGTGTTCTGTCTCTTGCAGAAAGCTTATGTTTCGTTGCTTGGTGAAGCAAAGTTGTTGAGTTGTTTCCCTCTGTAGAATTTTTAGTCCAAGTTTCTATTCAATTAAAAGTTTTTAATTAATTTTACAGGTCGCCTGTGAAGAACTGAGGAACAGCAGGATGTTTTTGAAGCTTCTAGAAGCTGTGTTGAAGACTGGGAACCGCATGAATGTTGGAACAAACCGTGGCGATGCCCATGCCTTCAAGCTCGACACTCTCCTCAAGCTTGTTGACGTCAAGGCTGCTGATGGAAAAACCACACTCTTACATTTCGTTGTACAGGAAATAATAAGAAGCGAAGGAGCTCGTCTTTCTGGTGGCAACGAATGTCCACCAAAGCCCATCAATGACGATGCCAAGTGTAGGAAGCTCGGCCTACAAGTTGTTTCTGGTCTCAGTTCGGAGCTCACAAGTGTCAAAAAATCCGCTGCCATGGACTCAGACGTGCTTAGCAACGATGTAAGGAAGCTTTTTAAAGGAATTGGGAACATTGCAGAGGTTGTAAGATTAATTCAAGCCACGGGGTCAGAGGAAAAATTTGCAGAGTCAATGAACCGGTTCACGAAAATGGCAGAGGAAGAGATTATAAGGATTCAAGCCCAAGAGAGCGTTGCGCTTTCACTAGTGAAGGAGATAACTGAGTACTTCCATGGAAATTCGGCCAAGGAAGAAGCTCACCCGTTTAGAATTTTCATGGTGGTGAGGGATTTCTTGACAATTCTTGATCGGGTTTGCAAGGAAGTTGGGATGATCAATGAGCGAACTATCGTCAGTTCTGCCCACAAATTCCCGGTTCCAGTGAATCCAATGTTGCAGTCAGTTACGAGTGGATTCCCAGGAAGGCGGCCATGTAGTTCCTCTGATGATGAAAGCTCATCTTCTTAGTGCTTGTTTCTCATATCAAGTGACATTTTTGTTGCTTTGAAGCCAAATTGACTGTAATCATCCATGGATTGGCTGGGTAAGAGGAGAGCTTATATGAGATGGTGGGCTGGCAGCTTTTAGATCTGTAATTTTTGTTTTTTGTTTTTTTGTTTCTGTTTTTATATAGATCCATGTAAAAGATTTTGGAAATTGTTTAATAATCTTATAGATATATATATATATATATATATACAAAGGTTTAGTTGGGAAGAATAAGAGAGTCAGGCCAGGGTTAGATGGTGTGTTTGGTTTCACCTGTAAAAAAGCATATCAGATTAATGCATACATATATAGATTCTTGGTATATGGTGAGAATTTGTGATGCTCTTCCTGTTCTTTAATTTCCTTTTTGTTTTCATATGCTTTCCCACTTCTAAATATCTGGCAAAGATGCTACTATCAGATTTATCATGAAACACGTTCAATTCTGTTAATCAGTGTTAATGTTCTACACTAGCACTGAAAATAACAAAGCACATACAGATGCAGAGTAAGGTATCTTTCAGAGTTGATCCAATTTGGCACTGGATTTTCTATTTTTGAAAGGATAAATTTCATTTTACCCTTTGCAGTTGGTTCACGTGCTCATAGCACCTGTCATTTACAAATAAATTCCTTGTGGTTTTTTAACTAAGGCCTCGTTGGGATCATGTTTTTTTAATAATTTTTTAATTTTTTGATTAAAATGTGATGGAAAAAAAATTAGTGTGTTTGGAATGACCTTTTAGCTTTTTACGAAAAAATGTGCAAAAAGTAGAGAGAAAATGAAATCTTTAACTTTTTGGTATGGTTTGTTGACTTTTTATATTTTTAGTGACTTTTTAGCTTTTTGTTAAAAAAGTCACTTGCCAAACGAGGCTTAAATTATAATTTCAAATCCATTAACAGCTCAAGTAAAAAGACTAAATTGTCCTTGTACGTAAGTAACTTTATTGTACAAACTGTATGGTCATTTGCACTATTTTTTTGAGATGCAAAATTCACTTTTAACTCCTGTGTTTATTCTTTGTGTGGTATATGTCTTGATATTTAGAAATGAGCATATAACTTTTTTATTGTTGACATATGTTTCACACTAGTTATTAATTTTGATTGACACGTGTTTCACACTAGTATTAATTTGGATGGAATGTTTGGTGGTGTATACTTTAGTCAACAAATCATTGAGAGTTTTCTAGTTATTAGATGACAGGACAGTAAACTGCATATATGGAGTAAGTCATAAGGGAGGATTAAGTGAAATTTGGCCTTCTTAAAATCCTATGTATGACTAGTTGTACGATCGTGCATTGAAATATTTGTGTTTCAAGATTCTCACTACATTGTTTAGTTAAGGGTAAATTGTAAACACGAAAACAGATTTTGGAGACAAAAACCCTTGGTCAACCACTTGATATCGCGATATGGGTTACAACAACCAAGGGCCTGCTTGTAGGGTCGGCCCTGGACATAGGCTCACCAAGCCATGGCTTAGGGCCCCTCAAAATAGACCCAAAAAAAGACCCCCTCCTAATATAGTTTAGTGTAATATATTAGGTATGTTTTAAGTTCAAAAAAATAAAAATAAAAGAAGGCCCAAACTAATTTAAAATAAATTGATCTATTAAAAAATTAAAATGCCCATTCTCTCTCCTAATCTAATTCCTAACCCTAACTCTTAATTCAATTTTTTCAAAAATTTGAGAGAAGTGACATAACAAAGTACTAACAAATTTCTAAAAAATTCAGAGCAAGTATGATTCATTTATTTGCTTCTAAAAATGTAAGAAGAGCGAGGATCAAGTGATACTTATTAGTTGTTGTAATGTAGTGCTAAATATTTTTTGTAATTTTGACACAAATCTTTTATCCTTGACCTTCAAAAAAAAATTCGTTGAATAAAAAAATATATATAAAGGGCCCCAAATGATCTAATGATATTTATTAGTTGATTATCGGTTTGGGTTTCGGAAATCTTAGGGCCAGGCCTACCTGCTTGGTGAGATTCTTATAAGCTGAAAGCTAATAAGTAGAAGTTAAAAATATTCCTCCCTTAACTTTTCAATTATTAAGTTTTTATCTATTTAAATTATTTTTGCGTCATATGCTTTGCAAACAGGCACAATCTTAGTGAAAATGTGTGAGGTTTATGGTGGTTGATGGTGAATAAAGCTTTCTTTCCACCTAAAAATATGCTCTTGGTAAGCTTTTCTTTGTGTTTTTACCCTTAAATTGTCATGAAAGGGTGAAACATTCATTATATCATTTTAAGGTACATGATTTGTATCAGTAACATGGACGGCAAATTATCAAACTACCAAATCAGTAATCATAAGAATATATGAAAGGCTATTACGCTGCTACAAAAATGATAGATTTTTTAGGGGCCATAATAATAATAATAATGATAATAATAATAATAATGGTTGCCTTTTACTTTTATTGACCATTTGGTTTTGAAATGATAGAAGCATAAGGGGCACAATATGATGGAAGGAAGGTGAGAGAGAATACTCTCACTCTAACATAGAAAAGGCATAAGATTCTTCCCATAAAGAAAGTGAAAATGATAAAAGAACAAAGTTAAAAAACACTTTCACTAGAAGAAGGGTTTAGACTGGAGTTAGAATAATATTTGACATTAATCACATGCTTGTACATAATTTTTGCACCACAAACATTTATACTTTGTTTGGAACTTAGCTTAGTCGAGAGAATTTAAAAAAGCGAAAAAGTTCAAAAATTTAAGATCCAAATACACCATTAATCTTGCACGATATTATCTGTTTCAGTTCCAAAAGTGGCTAGCTAGCTCAATTAGTAAAGTTGCATGGTGATCATTTTCCGTATCGAATTCTGCCTTTTTTTCTAGGTAGCAAGTGTCATGGGTAAGGAGAGGGCTATCTTTGTTGTGATCATAACAAGACGACAAAAAAGGAAAAGGAAAAGAAAAAGAAAATTTGCTGTGCTTCAATTCCTCGAAAAATGTAGAAAATAGACCCATGAGTTTATGGCAACACCAGAACAAACTTCTTGTAATCAGAAGCACAATGCAGGGCCATTAAACAGGTTGACACTAATTGTGACCGGAGAAGAGGGTCCCGAAAATGATCGATGGAGTGTTGGGGGAGACAAACAACTACTCATCAATTCAGTTTCAACAGTGTCAAACCAATGAAACCACCATCATAAATTTGGAGCTGCTTCTGAAAACATGATCTAATAGGCAAAATTAAGAGGAGAATACCGTTTAATAGATCTCTGAAACTTTTTCAACTCCACAATATAAGAACAGTAATCCACTTGTACAATTGATCAAGTCAAAAGGAACAACAATATTTACCAACTACATTGTTTTGTGACCATCAAATACCTTTAAACCCAATAGAAGGGATATGATGCTTTATTTGTTGATATTTTTGGCTAACTGCAACGACTCAGCATCCATGCGCTCCAGAACCCTTCGTGCTTCCTCCTCTGTAGCTGGAACCACCTTCCGAATCCTAAATTCATTCTTCATGGCATTTACCTCTGGGTGGACCGTGAATGAGAAGTAGAATGTATTTGACACCTACTCCAAGCGTGCACCAACAAAGATAGAGGTTATGCAATGAAAATTTTCAACTTATGACATTTAACATTTTTTGGGTATTATAAGTTCCTAAAATAGTATGACCTCCCAAAGTAAAGATGGAACACTATTAGTGGAACATACCTCACTAGACCGGAGCTCAGGCCTTGTAACATGGGCGACGACCTCAACATTAATCAGAGGCTGATCAGTGGTCTCAAGTTCAGTGTACAAGACACATGATGTTAAGCGCAAGAGATCTCCAACATCCACCTGTCCAACCAAGAAATATGGAATTTTATTCCTATAAATGCTTTAAATGTAGAGAGTACCCTATATATCTTATGACAGTTATAGCTATTTTAACAAAGTGATTCGCAATTTGACAACAATGGGTATGACCAGGATACAATGAAAAATTAATTAAAATTTTTAGTATTGCATTATACATGAGTTCAAAGAATAATGACAAACCATTATTTAGGAATTAAATATTAGTTTAAGAGTCAATAATCAAGTTATTTTTTTTCAATGGATATGTTAATTTGATAAAATCTAAAAAAGCAGAGTATTACTTTAATCTTGCTAGTTTCTTCTAAAAATCGATTATTTATTTATTTATTTATTCTAACAATTATAGTTTAATACTATGCAAAACTATTACAATATTAATTTCATAATAGTTTGGATACATGATCTATAATGTTTGAAAAGTATCCAATACTTCTCAAAATTAACATCAAGTATTCATATACATATCCGCAACTATTTGAAGAGTAGGTATTTGATACGGGTACGATAGAAGACTATCTAAAAAAAAATAGATGGAATAACATATTGAATACTGATACAGATACAATTCCCTTTTAGAAGTATCCGTGCTTCATAAGTGGTGACACTACTTTTCCCGTTTAAAGGTTTAGAAAGTTTTAGGACTTCCATTTGAAAGAACTACATCCAAAAAAAGAAAGATATGAGGTTTATACTTACAGGTCTCAAGAAATCAACATGATCAACTTCTAGAAAGCAAGGCATCATGCCAGCGAAAACATAAGCTGTTGAGAAAGCCAATTCAAATGCCCGGTGCATCAAAAACCCTCCAAAGATCCGACCATGGATGTTTCTTTGCTGTGGATGGCAGATCAAAGAGTTCTCAAGGCGTGTATCCCTAAGAAGGATGGTGTTTCTATCTGCCAAGGCCGGCATGTCACAGAAAATGCGTCCCTCAGCCAATAAAGATTTAAGCCTATCTACTTCCCCATTCTCAATCTCCTTCCTGTCATAACCTCTCTTCCTTTTTTTCAGTTTCCTTGCTTCTGCTTCTTCATACAGCAACTTTTCTTGTTCAGTTTCAGGAGAGAGTCGGTTCACTGGAGCAGCTTTCCCTGTCTTAGAGTCACGGGCAACAAATATAAAGTTGGCTGTAAGAGCTATGGATTCCAAAGCGTCAGAGCTCTCTTCTGCAAAACAAATTTCCTATATGAATGACTCAAGGTAATGAATTATAGCAGTCCCGAATTTAACTTAATGGCAATAGCCCTACAATTGACGAAATTTTGTTGAGAGAAATGATCTACATATTGTTATCATAAACTTGTGATGATTCATACAACATAGTTCCTAAAGAGATAATATTAGCAGGCTTTCAAAAGGATGGGAAATATGATTAAAAAAATGTGGAAAAGAAAAAGGCAATATGATACAACTGATGAGACACAGTTTCTAACCAAGATTGACTCAAATATGAAGTCAATGTGGGCAGTTGGTGATGAGTGGGATCGTTGTGGAGCCCTCTTGGAAGTTATGATAGGCAAGCAGGCACGAGACCAACAGAGGGAGAAGGGGAGAGAGCTGAGGCAGCCTGAGAGAGAGAGAGAGAGAGAGAGTGAGAGAGAATAGAACTTCTAAGTTTGCCGGAGAAGGTGGTTGGTTGCTGTTACATTGCATGCATGGAGGTAAAGACCTTATAGTCAAAATTTCATTTAAAGGTGTTGTCTCAGTTAACGTACAAACATAAATATTACAAAAAATTTTTGGAAACATACATAAGTGAAAGGACAAAAAATTTAGAAACATACAGAAATGTTTGGAAACGGAAACTAAAGCCTCTATAACTAATTGAATATGTCTGAATTTTTCTTGTTGTGGAGATCTCTCTCTAAGACCAGTTAGGATGCAATTCCCTCAAGGGAGAGACACCTTCATGAACCCTCAACCCTAGCCACCAAGCCATAAGACCCTAGAGATCCTATGCTTAGTCACCGAGTTTGCTGGTAAGGGAAACTTCCCGGCTCGCAAATCACAGTTTGACAAATTTTGACTAAGGCTTGGTTTGGCATCTTCAAAAAAAGTCAAAAAGCCAAAAAGCCACTATCCTATTTAAGTCACATCATCCTATTTAAGTCACATCACCTCTCTACCACATCACTTTAAACCCAACTCATATTTCATAAAAAGTTAAAAAGTGCACCTATTTAGATTATCCCAAACCACCCTTAAATTCATGATAAATTTGCGGATTCCTTTTACTCAGTAAGGGAATCAGGATCAGCAAGCATGGAGTTACTAAATAATCATGTTTTTTCATTGGTTTTACGCTTGTTCTAGTATAGACATGTTCCCACCAATCAATTCTGTTAGAATTTCCCATCTTTACCTTCACCTACTCCACTACACACTCCACTTCACCTACCTCCACTTCACCACACACTCCACTTCACCTAACCCACTATCACCTCCACTACACCTACTACCACATTTTCTTCTATATATAGATTGTATAGGAATTGTAATTAATCAATCTTGTAATAAATCAATACATCAATCAATAATCATCAATACATATATTTTTTCAAATTCTAAAGCCACTTTGAAATTGAAGCACAAGCTAATCTAATCGTTTCTCTTGGAAACCACAAATGCTAACTTTGGCTCCTTCAAATTTAAATACAAATTTAAAGCCATGCAACTTGAACAGCCAACCAGGTGAACAATTTGCAAGAACCAACCCACTGACCCAACTCAGAGGCATGTTCATGATCAAGTATTTTTTTCGTTTAATAGGTAGAGTTACATGTGATCTTACATGACAGTGTATTTATAATTCATATACAATAGTAGTATTATTTATATATGGACATATACATACTTTTTATATCTTTTTATAAATATAAATATATATATATATATTTATATCTTTTTATAAATATATGTTAGTGTTTATATACATATATATAAATTTAATAGGTCCTCTCATGACACTCTACCTACACATGTTCATATTGGACACTCTACCCTACCTAGATCTGTGTCTCCATGACCACAACACTAGCCCCTAGGGGGTTCCAAGACGCTGCTCCTGACTTAGGCAACCATGATAGAATCGGGTGCCTTTAAGAACAATTATAGATCATAGGGGATGTTTGCTCAGTTAGAGAATTGCTTCGCCAAGGCGATGGAAGACTGAGCACAAGTTTCATGTGGAAATGGTTGCGCTTGGTAAGGGAGTGAATGCGTCTAATGCTTCCTGGAGAGGGACAAGCATGGGATGGACATGCTCGGGTGGAGAGCAGGTTGACCAGGCTCAGCAAAGGGGTGCTTCGAGAATGCCTAGTCAAGTGGGCTAAGATGTACTTGTGGAGTGTCCCTTAATGGCCAACCTAGTAAACTAGTCTCGGCTGGTATTGCTCGACACTGCGGGGGAGTATGTGGAGATGTATGATTGGTCCACAAGTCACCTAACGAGGCTGGCATGTGGATCCAAGCATGTTATAGATGATAACATGGTGAATATGTGGCATGCCACGTAGGAGAGCAAATACATGTAGCCAAAGTTATGAGAACTATATTTTCGCAAAGGTAATGAATTATTAACCTTCAACATACAGCTTCAATGACCTTAACTCTTAAATGTCAGGACTCTAATTGACAAAATGAAGATGGCTATTTGAAAGACCTAATTTGTAGATATCATTTATCATGTGTGAAATAGCACCAACTGTTATCCTGCAACTTGAGATAAAAATCAAGATGGGTTCATATTCAGGATTGACAATCCCCGGTAAGATTTGGTAAGATGTACGCAATAGAATTAGAACTGACATGTTAGAGGAGACTTTCATTTAGGGTCTTGATATTCAGTGAATGCATTCAAATCAAAATAAAAGATGTTCTAGAAGAACAATTTGAGGAGCACGTATAATGGAGCGAAAAGAAAAAAGGAAACTAAGAAACATGGCCATAGTATGGAATAAAAAAAAAAGGATGGTAATTTAGATGGCCTAGAAATTTCTGAAATTGATGAAGGTACCTGTGAAGTGGATGAATTTAATAATTGTGATATAAGCTTTAACAGGTTCTGTGGGAAAGCAAACATATTAATCAACAGTTCAACACCAAACTAGATATGTGGCCTGAGATATTGAATTAAGAAAATAGTTTGGTTTCATGATGGAGCACTAAATCTTATTGTTTCAACAATTCAGGAAAATAGTTCTCTGATCTTTTGGATATGCAGATAGGCTATTCCAACATATCCGCTAGGGAGTATTGCCTTTTAGCACCTACAACATATCTGCAAGGAACCCCACCGCACCTACGTCAGGGCTGGAGCTTAGGCCCCCCGCGTGCTCTAGGTGCTAAAGAGTATATTTAATCCCAACAAGGGGTTATGAAGACTCAAACCCAAACCTTGAGCGAGGGATTCGAAATTCTCTGGGGATCTTTGACATGGTGAGTTCTTAAAGATTTCAGATTCTGCTATTCTGTTGTAACCTAGGAAGCACGGGTGCGGGTGCGGGTGCGCCGATTCGGCAAAATTCAAAAAAAGTATGATACGGGTATGGCTGCGGCTGCGGCTGCGGTACGCCGATATATATATATATACATTTTTATATAATTATGGTTAAAGGATCCAACCTACAAATTAAAATTAAACATCAAAACTAAAAAGAGAACTACTCATTTTCCTATAATTTAAAACCATTAAGCGTTAAAAATAATATTTGTGAAATCTCTCACTTTGACATGTTATGCACTATGAATTTGTTATCATAATTTATTTTTAAAATCTTTCTTTTTGCTCATTAATTTGCTATTTTTATAGGGTGAGACCAAAGAAATAACAGGAGACCAAAGAAAGATTTAAAGTTAATTGCCAACAGTAAAGGAAAAAAAATTCTCAATTGAGGCAGGTTGTCATTTGCAATTTGCATAATACATAAAATTGCATCATTCCCAACCACTACTAATCAACTAATACCGTATCAATTTTTAATGTTTTGTGTATAAACTTTAAAAGTTTGTTATGATTAAAGATTTTATTAAGAAATTCTAGGAGGATCTGAAGCAAAAGCATAATGCATAGTCATACACAGAACTGCCCTTTATAGGCCTTGTTATTTTTTTTGTTCAAATTGCTTTTTAAAAATATCAAAATCATTTGCTGATATGCTTATACAATTCATACAAATAGACAGGATAGCAGAGAAGCATCAAAATTGCTGATCTGCAAGGGAACCAAAAAAAAATTAATAAAAAAAAAATTGCTGATTTGCAAGGGCACAAAAAAAAAAAAAAGGTCCCGACGTACCCAAGCCGTATCCAAATGAACCAAACGTACCGGACCCCTTTTGCCGTACTCGGTAAGCGTACCCATGGCGCACCCACGCCGTACCCAAATGAACCAAACGTACTGGACCCCCTTTTGCCGTACCCGGTACGCGCACCCGCATCCGCACCTGCACCCGGTAAGTACCCGGTACTCGTACGGCACTATTTTTGGAGTACCCGTGCTTCATAGGCTGTAACCATGTCTTTATAGATGTGTATAAGCAACATTAAGATGGCAAGGACAGCAAACCAAATAGCATTTCCCAAGACAGTTGGTTATAGGTAAAATAATGAACCAATTCTTTCTTTTTAAAAAACCACACTCAATAGATGTGGAGTGGATGCAATTTTGTATAATGTAAAACTTCAAAAAGCTCCTAAATTTCCCAGGACACAGTTTCTAGTTAAAATACCATTTGTGGGCTGAGTGACTTCCAGTTGAATCTCAATTGAAGACCGCCCAACCCATATAACCGCACCAACCATTTTCAGATCAACATCAACACTGATTGGCTTCTTCAGCACCATCTTGTCAACAGAAGCAGTGACCAGCAAGAGTGGCCTTGTCATGCTATCATCATCAGAACAGTGCTACTCCACAAAAGAACAGATATATTACTAAAGGAAAGGCAGAATGTTGGCAACAATAAGTGCTATTTACTATAGAAAATATTTTTTAACAGCATAGGATAGCACCTTAAACAAGGATTCTAAGTTAATGCAAAACAACCAGAAGAATCTCCTTGCACCTGCAGTATTTAATTGAATTCACATAGACAATGTCTCAACTTTACCCGACAAAATGGATGGAGTAAATCAATTCATAAAGTCAGTTTCTCCAAAAATACGAAACCAGCATTCATCTACAACTGCTGTTATGGTCAGGTGTTTCTCTCAGGTCAGTGCAAAATAGCCTTGCAGCAAGACACCGCACAATGAACAGGCAGCCCGTGTTACATTGACTATTCTACTTCCCCTAGCTAAGTAGCACATACACGGACACATGACACAACACAACACGGAAGCGCTGACATGTCAATTTTATAAAAAAAAAATGGACATGACAAGCATTTTATATTTTTACAAGTTTATTATATGTCATAATGAATAATTTATTCAAAGATAATAAAAAACACGTAACATAACACTAATTACATTAAAATTTTCTATATTTCATAATTTAAACATCAAGATATCACGTAACAATTACATTCTAAAGAATGCAAACAATTATAGAACGTTATAATACATGTGACATATTCATCTTTTAAATGTTTTGAAACATATTTCAAGTGCATAAGTTGTGTTATGAAGAATGCAAACATTGTCATTATCAAGGGATTTATCACATAGGCCGTGTTCAAAAGTTCAAGAAGTGTTGTTGAAATGTTCACGAAATGTTAGTAGAGTGTTGAAATGTCTAAATGTTCACGAAATGTTAGTAGAGTGTTCAAGAATTTAATTTTTTAATTAAGACAAGTTGAAGAAGTTTCAAACAAGCTTTTAGGAGTGTCTGAAGAGTGTAGGTCAAGTTCCAAAAGGGTTGCAGTCACCGTAATGGTTGCGGTGACGTGGTTGTGAATGCGGGGTGTAAAGGCCGTAGTGTAACAGTTGAGTTACCAGAACCGTGAATTTTTTATTTTTCACACAATTTGAAAAAAAAAACTATCGATACACATATATTTTATTTTTTCAGAATCACATTTATTGGGATTTAAAATAGATTTTGATCAATTTTTTTTAGTTTTTAAGTATGATTCAATATATTTCATATTTTTAAATTACTATAAAAGGAGCTTTCTACATTTTATTTCAATAGTTAATGACTTTATATATCATAAATCCATATTGTACCTCTTATTTTTATTTATTTGTTTAAGAATAATTAATTTTAAATGTCTACAAATTTATTTTTTACCAATACTTGAATTGACTAAATAAAAAATATTTACAATTATTAAAGGAAATGATTTAAAAAAAAAAGTTGTGTCAAACAAAAATTATTTTTGAGCTACTAAATATTGCAGAATGTGTATAATATATATTTTGTATGTGCAAAATGTGTATGATGTATAGTTTGTAAGCTTTTTTTTCTTGAAAGAAAATTGTTCAGAATATTATAAATGTGTGTAACGGTGTGTACTAGGCCGTTACGGTACTGCTATGGCTGTTACGATACTGCTACAGCCATTACGTAATACCGAAACGGCCGTTACACATGTGAATTTCCGTCACACCACAAAAGCGGGTGTAACGAGTAGCACTTACCGCCGCAACCGTTACGTAACGCCGCTTTTTGAAACTTTGGTGTAGGTGTTAGACACAACACGCTTCCTCTGTAGAGGTGTCCGTGCTTCTTAGTCCCCTAGTGTACGTGTGTCCAACAGATATGACAAGGGTGATGGTATGGGATATGTGTCCGACATCTGTACCCAATTTCGACACTTGGATCCTCTACCTTATACGATGTTTGAAGAAAAAGATGCTTATATTCGCTAGAAAAGAAACATTTATAGCTTCTCACACGAATGGGAAATATAAATACTATATTTTTCTTAAATCCCATTTAAATTGAAATACTTTCTAAACAATTTACAATATATTAATCTAAAAACAATTATACAATATGCAAAATCTAATAAGTATCTGCACTTGATACTTCTACCCGAGTCCATGTAACATAGCGGACATCAACAATTTCTCTAGATCATTCGCTCCAATGTAACGTTCCTTTATGGCCTAAGTCTTGGTCCTTACATAGTTTATTTCAATCAATATATCAAAAGGAGGCAAGCTTAGGCTGTTAACTAAATTTTGGCCTTGATTTCAGCCTTATATTCTTTCCTTATTTACCTTATTTATTCTAGAGATTTGGTTGCTGTAATCTCTGTAAATTAGGAGCTGATTATAGGGATTTGTCTTGACCTTCCCAATAGCTTTTTATTTGTTTCCTATAAACACATGTAAACAAATATAAATGTTGTTTCAAGCTAATATACATGCAGTTTCTTTTCATGGTATCTGAATATTTGATCGTTTTTTTAAGCTCTTACCTCCTAGTATGGCTTCATCTTCTCAATCTTTATCTTCAATGTTAACTTCTACCCTCGTCTCGTTCTTTTGAGCAATATCATCAATTATGTCTCCATCATATTAGATGAGACTAATTATCTGCTATGGTGAAGTCAGTTTGTTCCCATTCTTGAAGCCAATGATCTCTATGGCTATGTTGATGGATTGATCATGAAGCCAGCACAAACCATCAAGTCCACAGAAGGGAAAGATATTCATAATCCAGACTACATCACATGGAACAAGAGTTACCAATTTGTCTTGAGCTGCAACAATGCAACTCTCATACAAGGCATTCTCACGCAGGTTCTTGGGCACTCCATTGCACATGAATTTAGGAAAGCTTTCACTCAATGGTTTTGAAGCAAAATCAAGCCCGCTTTGACCTTTTTAAAGGTGACATTCAATTGATTAAAAAAGGTACATCATCAATGTTAGAGTACCTCAATCGGCTCAAACATCTTGCCGATTCATTGGCTGCACTTCAGCACCCAATTCCTGATAAAGAGCTTGTTGGACATGAAAATCAGGAACACCCACCCACTTTTGGCAAACTTTGATCTCGACTTTTCAATCATGAACAACGTCTAAAACACTCTCCTCAGCATGCTCCACCCATGGGAGATACAACTTTCATGTCAACCAATGGATCTAGCACACGACAACATACATCATATGCACAGCCTACAATAAAAGTCATAGGAACGGGTTCCATAATTCTGGTTTTCCCTCTCAACAAAATAGATTCAATGAGTGTCAACAAGTACACAATGTATTTCCATTGCGTACTTGTTGAGGGGGTGCTTTGCGTTTGTCTCAGGATTAGTCGAGTTGTGCCTAAACTAGCCTAGACACCCGGTCATCAAAAAAAAAAAAAACTAGTACACGACGTATTTCCATAGTCTCCGTCTCAGAACTGTGGTTGTGGCTAGAACTCTAAAGGCAAACCATCTAAGAGGCACAGACATTGACACACGGACATGTTGACAGGCTAATTTTCAAAAAAAGCAAACACAATACGTTGAGGACACGCACGAAATATATAATTTTATATATTTATTATATGCAACATATATAAATATATCATTCAAAGATAATTATTAAAAAAAATGTAATATAACACTTATTTCATAAATTTACATTGTTTTTTATTTATTTATTTATTTATTATTATTGTATCCTAAGTTATTTAGTTCAAACTTATAATTAGTTTCATGTATGTATAATCGGTGGACACGTGTGTTTAAGCAATGGCCACGAGTGTCTGGATCTAAATTTTTTTTTAAAATATAGGACACGTTTTGATGAGTGTCAGACATGTGTCAGGAAGTGTCCAATGAGTGTCGCTGTCCGACACAAACACAGCATGGATACGCCACCTTTTTACAGGTGTTTGTGTTTCTTAGCAAACCATACAAGGGAAAATGTCAGATATGTCGTTGACAAGGACATTGGCTGCCAAACGTCCATTTCCCTTCACACAAAACTATAATCCAAATCGAAGGCAGCAATCCTTTGCAGCCATGAACAAGCTCAAAATTCTGATCCATGATGGTATCCAGACACTGGTGCAACCAATCATATGACAATAGATATGCCGCTTATTCAACAACCCCAACAATATTTGGGTTCTGATTCTGTTACTGTTGGCAATGGAGCTGGTCTTTGCATTTCTCACACAAGCAATATTTATTTTCACAAATTTGGTTCTCAATTCAAACTTGAAGATGCGATTTGTTTTCTTGCCATAAAGAAAATCTATTATCACAGTTTACTATTGGTGAAAATAGCTCCTTTAAAAAAAAAAAAAAAAAAATTCATGGGATTATAGTGTCAAGGATTTTGCTATAGAAAATTTCTTCTAATGAGAACCATTAAAGACAATTTGTATTCACTTCCTCTTTCTAGAGCACAATTAAGACATTTATGGTGCTTTGAAAAAAACTTGGCTAAATTACACCTCTGGTCTCCCAAGTTTGAGTGGAATTTCACTTTGGTCCTCGGAATTTCAATTTGAATAATTTAGTCCTCACACTTTCAATTTTGTTGCAATGTGGTCCCTCCGTCATGCGTTGTTAACATTTTGAACCGAGAAAAAAAAAAAAATCACGTGCAAAACTAGAAGGATCAAAGTGGAATTCAAGATAAACTATACGGGCCACTAATGTAATGAATAGATTGCACTGGTGGTCCTTGTTTGTTTTGAATTTTACTTTGGTCCCTCTAGTTTTACACATGGTCTTTTTCATTCCAAATTCTAATAGTAAGTGACAGAGGAATCACATTGCAAAAAGATTAAAAGTGCCAGGACCAAATTGTTCAAATTGAAACTACATGGACCGAACTTAAACCATAGGGACTAATAGTGTAATTCACCAAAAAAACTTCAGTTGTGGTTCATGTCAAATGGGAAAAAGTAAGAAATTTCCACATCATCTACTAGAAATTCTCTTCATCTCTTTTTTTTTTTTTTTTTTTGGGTCCATTTGGGTCCATAGTGATATTTGGGGTGACACAAC